GGAGATCGTGCGTGTCGAGTGCGCGAAATGCAGGCGAGAGTGCGATTGGGTCAGTGCGCGCGCAACCCTCTGCAGAGATCGTGCGTGTCGAGCGCCGCGATTCATCCTGGACGCGGGAAACCCTCTGCGGAGATCGTGCCTTTGTAGTACAACTTTAGTACGCGGAGTTTCTGGGGAGCTGGAAGATGAGAACTGGCGACTTTGTAGTACAACTTTAGTACGTGGAGTATCTGGGGAGCTGGAAAATGAGAACTGGCGACTTTGTAGTACAACTTTAGTACGCGGAGTTGGGGAGCTGGAATTTGAGAACTGGTGACTTGGTAGTACAACTTAGTACGCGGAGTATCTGGGGAGCTGGAAGATGAGAACTGGCGACTTTGTAGTACAACTTTACTTGGGTGTGCTTTGGAGTAGGAGGACTTAAAAGTGATTTGTAATTTACTTGCAAATTCAATATGTTGCCCAGAACCTGTCTAACTAGACTAGAAGTAGTGTAACTTCTGAAGACTTCTGCAGAAAGTTACAAGTTACTTAGGAATTTGTTCCAATATATTTCCCCTAACTTAATGGAAGTTATTTTGAACTTATTTTGAAGTTATTTTTTCACAAAAGACTTATTGGTTTTCTGTTTGGTTGAGAAGCAAAAATTGCGCCGCTGAACCAACCTCCTCAGTTCATAACTTTTTTGGCTTGCCATTTTCATTGCGGTTTTCACCGTTTCAGGATGAACGGAAATGTTCACATTTCAAGTTTCCGCATCAGATTTCATTTCACCACATCACTAAAAAAGAGTGTGTACTAGTGAATAAACAGCCTGCCTGGGCTTGTTTCTTCAGAGCACCGACTGAAGCTTAAAGACATGACCTATAGCAGCCAAGCCAGTGAAGCACACGGTAAATGTAACTCTCACTTTTAAACATTGTATTTCTCACTCTTCAAATTTAGGGGTGGCCTGGCTCTGCGTTTTCAAGACGGAGAATATAAAGTAGTTCTGCAAGGTTGCCGATGCCTTTAGAAAGGACATGCAAATCAAACTTGAAAAAACTGTGAAATGTCAATTCACTTTTTTTCAAGTTACACCCAAGCTCCTGGTGATGCAGGTCCCCGCGTAACTCGCGCCTTTTTGACCGCAAAAATCAGCAAATTACAGGAAGCCACCCGTATACCACCGTATACCGTCCGTATACCATCCGTATACCATGCCAGGATCCCAGCCGTATACCACCGTATACCGTCCGTATTCCAGCCGTATACCATCCGTATACCATGCCAGTATCCCAGCCGTATACCACCGTATACCGTCCGTATACCAGCCGTATACCATCCGTATACCACCATGGCCCCAAATTTTGTGGGGCAATTGGGAACGTGCAGTCTTGATTCCTGTCGAGGTTGTAATTTAATGCACATGGTCACTGTCTCTTTCGCATGCGCAGACGATGGCCAAATCTACCTTTTCCGATAGCGCGTGACAGAAACAAGATGCCTACGGGGTTCTGTTCTCACCGCTTGTTTTATTCAGGTTGTTGCGTGAAAATGCTGTGCTCACCGCTGGTTTACATCGTCATGTTGTTACGTGAAAGTGCGGTGTTCACCGCTGGTTTACATCATGTTGTAACATGAAAGTGCGGTGTTCACCGCTGGGTTTACACCAGGTTGTTGCATGAAAGTGCGATGTTCACCGCTTTGCACTGAGCAGGTTGGTCTCAGCGAGCGGCAATGATTTTGAAAAATATTGAAAAATAGTCCATCTGGTTTCTTGGATTTTCAAAAATTGAAGTTATTGGAAGTTATTTCGAACTTACTTTGAAGTTATTTTGGTTGTTTTCTTAAGTTCTATAACTTCCAAATAAGATAGTTGCAAGTGCCGCAACTCAAAAGGCACACCCAAGTAGTAGGCGGAGTATCTGGGGAGCTGGAAGATGAGAACTGGCGACTTGGTAGTACAACTTTATTACGCGGAGTATCTGGGGAGCTGGAAGATGAGAACTGGCTGGCGACTTTGTAGTACAACTGTAGTACGCGGAGTATCTGGCGAGCTGGAAGATGAGAACTGGCGACATGGTAGTACAACTTTAGTACGCGGAGTATCTGGGGAGCTCGAAGATGAGAACTGGCGACTTGGTAGTACAACTTGAGTACGCGGAGCAATCTGGGGAGCTGGAGAATGAGAACTGGCGACTTGGTAGTACCACTCTATAACGCCGTAGTACGCGGAGTATCTGGGGAGCTGGAAGATGAGAACTGGCGACTTGCTGGTACAACTCCAGTACGCGGAGGTGACTTGCGAGAGGTCAAGAACTTGCAGAAAAAAGGTGTTCCTGCGCGTCAGAACGACATACAGAGAGAGACACATACACTCTGACATTGGTTTGCTGTTAACTCAATTCCCACGTTGAGAAGGAAGGTGAGGGAAAGGCAAGGCGAAAGGTCCAAAGATTTGAAGATGTTTGAACAAATGGTTTCCGCGCATCAGCAAGTCACGAGAACAGCGGTGTCGAGCAATCAGCGCGGCTG